ATGTTCAGCTGCTGAAAGACGTCCAAAAATACACAACTGGTCCTTTAAGTTATTGATTTTGCTGTAATATCAATAAAGTTCCCATGAAAATACCAAAACTGTAATTAATTGAACTTATTATAGTATTTTATTAAAATATCACAGTCTGATTTCTCTCCATAAAAGCACCACACTGCTGAATTTTGGGTTATAATCGTTTATTTTTAAGAGTTTCTTGAATGGTGGATCCAAAGCGTCCATACAGGGGCGGATGTAGAGAAATGCTGAGGTGGCAGAAATATGTCCTAAACCTGCTCAGATCCAGTCCGGGTCGGTCTCTGTGGCGCTAAAGTCCAGAAGACAACTTCCTGTTACCGCCTGTCCAGCCAAACACACGTTTAGTTATTTGCTGACCGAAAAAAATGTAAAGAAAAAACAGATTAACAGTTTTCAGATTCATCCAGCTGCTCAAAAAAGACCCTTTATATGTGTGTGTGTGTGTGTGTGTGTGTGGGGGGAGTGTGTGCATAATTGTAAATACAGGCTACTGTGACAATCCTACTTTCCTTTTGTGTAGACTGTTTGCTGAATAATGTTTTTATGTACATTATGACCCCATTTACACTTCAAGTGTTTCTCGGCTTTTTCGTGAATGTGATCGGACAAACCTCCGTCCAGAAGGTGGCGCCAGTGAGTCATATAAACTGTTTTAAAGAGGTGTTTAAGAGAAGAAGCTCCCTGGATAACATTGAGCTTTAATCCATTAAACCAGCAGGAGGAAAGTCCAGTGTGTAAACATGTGAATCCAGATAAGTTCATTTAACTCAAAAACTTGTTTAAACTGATTTAAATCAACATTTTAGAGTAAAATTAAAAAGTTAATAAAACATTCTTGATCAAGTAGCTTTAGTGATTTTAAGTGAGAATGAAAGTAAAAAGTTATTAATCAGGAATCTTTCTGTAACTCATGAAACTACTTAAAATAACAAGTAAAAGAATCTTTTTTAACCTAAAAAATGTAGTTTGTGTAAGTTTCAACAATATTTTGAGTTAAAAGAAGTGAATCTGCCTCTTAAACATGACACTGGACCTTTTAAATAGAATATTTTGAGATGAGCTCTCTCTGCCACACGAAGAGACTCGGTGTAAATGGGGTTTAAGAAACTGTTTCCAACACATTCTCAGTCTTTTATTGTTGTTTTGTTACCAACTGTTTGACTCATCGATGGACAGAAACGAAACCAAAATATAGAAACCGAACAAAAATAAACAAAAAACAGCTTAAAAGCATCGTCTGAATGTCCGCTGTGTGTGACAGTTGCTGCACTTTCTATGATCGGCACTTAAAATAGTAAAAAAAAAGAAAAAGAAGTTTTGTTTGTTTCCACTTCCTGTTTGTAAACGTTTGTAAGATATTTGTTTGTGTAGCTTTCAGACTGAAGGTTTAGTTTGTGACCTATATATAAAACAACGTGGCTGTAACTGCTCTGAGGTGTCGTATGTGTGTTATGATTCATCCAGATCATCTTCATCATCTTCATCATCCGCTGCTATGACTCATTTAGGCTAAAAAAAGACTTTGGATTTAAACAATTACCCAGCGATCCACAGCAGCGTCATCGTTCCGCATCGGCGGATATTTATCATCAATGAGTCTCTGTGAGCTTCAGTTACACACTGTATCTCTGCTGACGGGCGTTGTCGTCAGACTACGATTATATTCTGATATAAATAAATATCTGCTGCTGCACTGGATACGATATCGTCTTAAAAACATACAAATATTTTATAAAACACCAAGTAAACTGAAGACGAACTCAAGACCTCGCCCAGTCGGAGCTCAGTTGTGTTTAATATCTTGCGTGTTCTTGCTCGTGCTAGCTGCGTTAGCATCCACACGCTCCTCGCCGCCGTCTCACCAGGTGAGTGTTAAGATCTGTTAACAGATGGACAGACTTTTATCCAACTTTACTTCTTATAGAATCCAAATGTCTTCCAGACTTTAGATTTGATGGCGCTCTGTAAATCCAAACGTTACTCTGAGTGGAGACACTGTTAGCAGCAAAGCTTCAGTCAACAGATTCATAAGTTTAGAATCAGACCATCAACCGGTTCGTGGTACATTTACATCGATCAGGGGTCAGAGTACCGATGTACTTTAAATGGTTTCCCCCCTTTCAATAGAAGTTGTTGTTACCTTAGAATGCGACGGTTTTTTATCTACAAAAGTCTGCCATACAGTAATCCGCTGGCTCTAGGATGGGACGGCATGCTTGGAACGGGTAGGGTGAGGCGAGGGAGTTGTAAAGCCTACACAGCAGTCCTTAAAAGAGGAACTGCAGAGATTTTCCACATCAGCAGGTGTTTATTGAATATTCATCAGTGAGGAGACGCAGTAATTCAATTAGCTAATCGTGACGTAGGGTTGATATTTATAAAAGACGCTTTCTGAAGCTACAACAGAAGAAAATGAAGCCGAGCTGAGTCACACTGAGTTTATACTAAAGCAATCGCACAATTACCCAGAATGCATCCTGACGAACCAGAGCGCTGAGTCATTGTTTGCTCTTTTTGATTTTATCTAATTTAAAGTTTCTTCTGTGTGTTTTGGACTCAGTGACTTGCACATGAACCAGCAGAGCTTGAAGGTGTCTGTCGTCCTTTTACAGCTGCAGGAAGTGGAAGGAACCCTCTTCTTCTCTGGTGCATAAACAGCAGCATTATACTGGTGTCGTTGGTTGAGGTGGAGCTAAACTGAAGATTATTTACAGTCCAAACCTCAAAATGATTACAAATACATTCAAATTATACAAATTAATTCAAGTAAATATTCATGTTTGTGGAGCCATGAAATAGTTTTTTAAATGAAAAAAGACTCATATGATGATGAAAAGGCAGCTGGTTGGCACGGTAACGCTGTTGTTTCCGTAATCTGTGGTCAGCGATAAGAAACGCAGTGCAGATAAGAAAGACAATGGAGAATGTGAGTGTGTGATGAAGATTAGATAAACAGAGACAGAACAGTTATTGTGAAATTCGTTTCATTCCCAGACTCACAGAGAGGTCAGAGGTCACACAAACACCAAAGACTTACCAGCAGGAAACACTGTTTAATTCAAAATGATTAAAAATAATTGTTTACATGTGTGTCTAAACAAAAACAACTCATTTTAACCCTTTTAAAATTATTCCAAGGTCTCAAAATATTGTTTTGCAGTGAGATATTTAGTCTTAAAGGAGAACTTGGCAACTCTAGCATTTCTTCGCTTGGTTTTGCCACTTTTGTCATCCATGTTTTCTCCAACGAGCTCCCCTACAGCCTCTGGACGCTTCTTTTAGTTTCACAACACGCTCGTCAAAAACTCAGACGTCGTCACCCTCCTTCCCCTTTCTACCGCTGCTGGAATGTGCTTTTTGTCGCCGGGCAGGCCAATCTTTTTCGTGTGGAGCGAGATGAGTCTACCGAGGTGGTAATACCATTTTACCAACTAACCGTTACTGAGGGGCGGCGGTTGGGGCTTTATGGTGGAAATCTGCCCATTAAAGCCGGTTCGTGTTTCTCGCTTCGTCTCGCTTCTCGCGATACTCCTACTTCCATATTTACCGGGAACGGGTTCAGTCCCAAAGTTGCAAGGTTGGTTTTCCGCCTGGGGTCGCCTGAGGGGGGTGGGGAGGTCATCATTTTCACCGGAACAAGCCATTTAACCATCCAAATGATTTCTAAACGGGTTTATTAAGCTGAAAAAGTTGCCAAGTTCCCCTTTAAAAGCAGCAAACAAGGAGCTTACGTTGATTATGGCGCCCCCTGTGGACAAAAGTGGTACAACTGTAATCGTAGAAAAGTCGAATCTCTTGTAACACAAAGAGTCTCTAACCGTTGCATATGCTAACTGTACTAGCTGCAGTGAAAAACCTGTAGTATGTTTAAATGGAGGCGTTCTTTGAAGAAATTCATCTGGAAATCAACAACAGCTAATAAAGGACTCTGTTTTCTGTATAATTTGCATCACAAACTTCATTCCAAGAAACTTACTACGAAATTGTTTCCAATTTACGGGCTCGTAAAATGAAGATTTAATTTCCCAACGTAAAAAAAAAAAAATCTACGAGCTGTTTTAAAGCCCTCCGACGCTGCCAGGAATTAAATTAAACTCTGTTGGTCTGAATCCTTTATCTAATTATTCTGTTGGGATGAAAGGAAGTCAAAAGGATGAAGTTTTCTTTTAACCTTGAAGTATTTTTTGCTGCTGTTTTAAGTCGAATCGAAACTATGGAAGCTCATTTCTGCCAATGTAAAGAAAGAAAAAGGATTCTGTAAGTTATTATAATGAGAAACTTTCTCAAAATATTGATTTAGTATCTTAAAATAATGAAAAACCTTTCTCATTATAATGACTTACAGAATGTTTTGGGGGATTTTTTCTGTCAAATTGGCAGAAATAAGCTTCCATACAAGCAGTAAAATATTCATATGGGTATTTTTTCCAAACATAATGAATTAAAATTTCTCCCATTAATCATCAACCTCTCAGATTTAACTGATGACCCTTTGGAGGGACCTGACCCCTAGTTTGGGAACCACTGTACTAAACAAAAAGTAGTTTTTAAAACATTTTATACAAAATATGAAATAAAGTAGCTGATTAATTGTGTATAAAATGTTTTAAAAGTAGAGAATTAACTACTTAAAAGCGGGAAAATTATTAAATATATACCCTAAATGGGCAGTGTAACCTAGGAGATACAGTATGTAAATTGTAAAATCATGAAATTGTGTTATTTTAGTTTATATAGATTAGAAAATAGCAATAAATATTCCAAAAAATGGATATGTGTCTTGTCATTTAAAGGTTAAACTGCTGTCCTGTAGCACCACCTGCTGATCCTATCTGGAATATTATTTTACCTGTATTATCTTATCTGTATTATGTTATTGTTTGATATATCATTTATTAATGACAGGAACTGAACTCAACAGTCTGCACTGCCACCTGCTGGCTGAACGATGATACAGCACATTGTTTAGATGAACAGATTATCTATTATTAATAAACTGACTCAGTGACATATTTTATGGATATATCATAATATATTCAAAACAACTGCAGGAAGTTTGTGTAAAACGACTGATATGGATGAATTTTGAGCAGGTTATTGCCCGTTCAGGGAACTTTTTATTGCTGTATTATGTATTTTCTTTAATCATTTTTAACAATCATACAGACTTAATAAACTACTTCAATGTTGGCTTAATCTCTCAGCCACAGAGGTTGCAGCTAAATTTCTAAGATGGCGCCCCATGATGCCCTGTGATTTTTCCAACAAAGTAACCCCTGAGGGTGAACAGAAGTGCTGCTGCAAAGGCCAGTATGACCAAAATAATGATTTTTTGAGCAACTTAGTATAAACGTATTATAGCAGAAACTCTACAACACAAGTATGAACCTGAAAATGAGGATAATACGTCCTCTCTGAGGGTCTTGGCAGTTAATTGCATTGAAAACAGGAATCTTTAATATAAAATGTGGTTTATAAAACTTACATTCTTTACTGAACTTACAGCATATTTATTTTAGGAATTACACATGAATGATATTTTCTTAAATTATCATTTTGAAACAGTGCACTCAGCCCCCAAAAACACCCTAAATGATGACTGACTTGGCAAAATTGGTGAGCTTGTGTAAATCTCCTGTTCTCATTTATTTTCCAGTGACTGTGTCTTCAGCACCCCCTGCTGGATGGATGAGAGACTGACTGAGTCATGAATACAGCAGAGATCCTGCAGATTATGTGAGTGTGTTTAGTACTTTTACCTTCATGAGGTTTAGTTTTAGAGCAATAAGATTGATGTTTTACACAAACACACTGCAGCAGAAGAAATACAATGTACAGAATAAACCTTTTATCCACCTGGACAAGAGAGGAAGGAGGATAAATCAGACACACCTGTATACTGGAGGAGGAAAGACAAAGAGAAACAATCCCTTTTCTATCATTCAGTAAACTGACTCAGTGACATATTTTATGGATGTTTCATATTATATTAAAAACTGTTCAATGAATCCAAACAGTGAACTCAGGAACTGCAGGAAGTTTGTGTAAAACGAATGATTTGGATGAAGTTTGAGCAACATTTTATACTTTTTTAATCTTTTTTTTTACCAATCATACAGACTTAATTGGTTTCTTACTTAACAAGTTCTATTATACAATTTCCTTAATATACATTTGTGTAAAGTAAGCCAAATGCAGAGTTTTCTTACACCACTTAACATCAAGAAGACCTCATGATCCCCCTGTGAAACTCCGGCGACCCCTACTGGGGGTCCCGACCCCTTAGGTTGGGAACCGCTGCGACTAAATGTAAAAACCTCCGTGCAATGTTGCAGTGATGCAATAAGGTATCATCCAGACAGACAGGAGAGATTAAAATAGATATTAAAATAAATACCATGAACATTTGGAATAAAACTCTAGTGTTTTATAGAAATTTTAATGGCAAAATGTTACATTTTATAACTTTAAGGTTAGATTTAAAGGACGAGTGTGTCACACAGAGGAGGATCTATTGTCAGAAATATGTATTCATACTTTTTATCCGCCATGTTTCTACAGTAGCCCAGAGCGGACAAATCAAATCTTAATTGGGCCTTTTGTGTTTTTTTTCGAGTTTCACAACAACCGTAGTTTCTCCTTCACACTCATTCTCATTCTCAGGTCATCAAATACATACGCAAGCAGTGTTCAGTTAGTTGCAAACTGCAACTTCAGCGCTATAGACGCCACTAAATCCTAAACACTGGTGCTTTAACCACACTGTTGGCGCGAGAGACGTGGACAAAAATTTATGTGCTAAAACCTCCAAATGGATGTTTAAAAAAATAAAAAATAAAACCTGAATAAACATAATATTTACCCTCTTTAACACTGCTGCAACCTCAACCTGACATCCTACAGCGTTGTGGGGACTCACCTGAATTGTGGGGACACACTGGACCTTTGACATAACTAAAGGGACATTTGGGAAAATGTAAAAACTCAACAAAATATATAACATAGCTCTAATGTTTATCATATCTTTAAGGTTAAATGTTAAATGTTAAATGTCAGTGAGGGTCCTCACAAGAATAGCAATACAAACAGCTCCAGATAAGATGGTTTATGGCTTCATCTCACACTCACACACACACACACACACACACACACACTCACACAGTGTTACACGCCTGCGTCAGGTGTGTGAATGTCTTTTACCGTTTCCTGTTCAAAGCTCAAAGTTCAGCTGGCAGACAGAGACGATCCACAGACGCCAACAAGAAGAAGAAGAAGAATCAGAGTCTGAAAACAGGAAATAGTTATCTTTACTGAAACCACAGAAGACTAAAATCTGACAGATTCGGAGGAACTCCTGTGTAATATCTGAATCACAGATGGATTATACCTGAAGACGAGCAGGGCAGATAAACTCAGAGATCACCGCTGATCGGCTGGCGGCCATCTTGGAGAGACGACACAGGTGTGTTTGAACGAATATGTCTGCGGCTGTTGTTGTCGAGCAGATCTGAGTTGCTGTGTCTGTTCGAACAGGAGGAACTGTGAGCTACAGAAAGAGGTTAATTCATCATATATGTTGAGGTTTTAGGTGAATTATGAAGAAAGACATCAGAAAATCTGGACAAGAAGAGAAAAACGTTATCAAAATGTATAAATATTTGTCCATTTAACATGTGCTTAATTTGTTTTTTTAAAATAAGACTTTAAAAAAGTGATTCACAGGTGAAAAATTATTAAAAAACATACTCAGGATCTTAAAAATTCAAATAAATAACTCAAATTATTACCGTAAAACATCGTAAATATTAATATTAAGAGTTCAACATGTCTGTGGTGGATGATGCTACTTTTTTTGTTAAATTCACATTTCAGGAGACATCTTAGACGATAATAACATATTTAATGAGACAACAACCACGGTTTCAGTTGCACACAAGGCCGCAGTCCAAACTCTAACTTTAGTTAACAATGCATTATACAAATTAGTCGTTTTTTAAATGGTTTTATGGCTCAATTTATTTTTTATTTTTTGAAAGTAGCATAAAGGAGCGATATCCAAATGTTATTCTACAACCGTGTGTTGTAAATGACAATAAAATAACCTTGAATCCTTTTATTTCCCAACATGGAGGTCTGAAAGCTTCTGTCAATACTTTATGAATATTGAATAAAATGTGTAGCTTCGAGTATCAAAGTGTCAATTATTTCTTAATCTAAATCAGGAAACGTGTCTAAGTTTAGACACTTTTCTTTATTTAGGCAGTAAGTCTTTGATTATTGAACAATTTAATAGTACAATTTATTCAGAGGGGTCAAAAAACATGTTTATTTTCCATTTTAATATCTTAATATCTTATAATATCTTATCATAAAGTGTTGCTGGACATTACTATACAACTGGATTCTCAGAGAAATAGATTCTTCCAGACATTACATATAATGATATAAGTACCACCCTATTAATTTAAGTGTACAAATTAATAAGCACTTCACTCAACCCAAAACAAAAGGGTTACAAAATTGATAGTTCATTTCTAGAAGAATTTCCTTAAAAAACTGTTCAAATCTTATTTAAAAAGTGTAAGAAAATGTAATTTAAACTCATGTAAATATCAATCTTGGAAACTGTATTCTCTATATTTGTTGAATTTAATGTTTTACAGATTTTACAAATTCTACATGTTTACCTGCCAAAAGATTTTTTATTAAAAGATGGTTACACTAACCAACTGGAACTAGAATTAAGAGAAAGGGCACCAATTAAACATTGTCTTCATTTTCTATTTAAGAGGTTATAGTTTATAGCTTTGATCTGTATCACATCATCAAAAGGTTTTAACCTTGAACTCTGTATCAGTATCACATTTTAATTGACCATAAACCTTTCTGCTTCTCCCTCCATTACACCTATAATTTCAACGTGCAGCTGCAGGCAGTGATGGAAGAAGCACTCAGATCTTTAAGTAAAAGTACCAATATCACAATGTATAAATACTCCATTACAAGTAAAAGTCAGTGAAGCTAGTTTTAATTACCTTCTACAGTGAAGTTTAACCAACCTAGAGATTGAGCCCCTCTAAAGGGTGACAATCTGAGGGGTCGTGAGAATAATTAATGGGAATAAGGTATCTGCAGTTCAGGTACCTCAAAATTGTACTTAAGTATTGTACTTGAGTAAAAGAGAACAAATATTTATATTGTAGAAAGTAAACTTTAAAAAGTTCTTTATATTCATTATTCAGTGTCCAGCAGGGGCCCTCCTAGACCCGCCTCAGTCCCCGGCTGCAGCGACCCCTGCTGGGCATCATGGAGCCTGGAGCAGGCCGGCTGCCACTCCAAGTACTGGGAGAGAACGAGGCGCTGCAGCAGTTCTTCAGTGGTAAGCTTGTTTACTTTATTTTAAAATCTGAGAGAAGAATAATGTATATTCTCTGACAGAAGGGCCGGATCACAAAGAACGTAGTTGTCTTGTCTTGTCTGGTTGTATTTTAAGTTTACAGTAGTCCTAAAGAAGTTAAACAAAGTTCTAGCCATCCTTGAAGAAGTTCTTTGGTTCCTGAGGAGGGTCGAATAGTCACTAAATGTGGCTTTCAGGAGGTTCAATTGGTTCTTGAAGTGGTTTCAATAGTCTTTGAGGAGGTTAAAATGGTTCTTCAAGTACAGGTAGTTTAGGTACAGGTAGTACTTTAGGGTGGGGGCTTCTTGGGAAGGTTCTATTGGTTCCTGAAGAGGATAGTCTAGAGGTCCATCAGTAGCTCCTAATTGAAGATTCAAGTGGTCCTCCTTGAGTAGGTTCATGTAATTCTAGTGGTCCTTGAAGAGGACATTCCAGGGGTCCCCAGAAAGTTAAACAGATCCTTAAGGTAGTTCCAGTGGTCCTGGGGAGGGAGATTCCAGTAGTCCTTGAAGAGGTTCAGGTGGTCCCTGCAAAGGCTTCAGGGAATCCTAGAAGATCTTCTGCAAGATTTTCTGCTAGATTCCAGTTGTTCTTGAAGTGGTTCCATGGATTGTAGAGGCAGATATATTGATTGACCCTTGAGAAGGTAGTTCTTATCGACCTTAGGGGAGGGAGGCTAATATATTGATGCTTGAAGAGTACAATCCAGTGGTCCATGAGTTGTCTTTGAGATATTCTAGTCTATCTCTGAGTGGGTTCCAGTGGTCCTTTAACAGGTTTAAGGGGTCTTCAAGGAGGCTCCATGATTAAATTCCAGAGGTGATTAATGGTGGTCTTAGGCAGTTTCAGGGGTTCTTAAGAAAGGGCAGGTCATCCTCAAAGTGATTCTCATGGTAACTGAGGAGGTACTATCCTTGAGAAAGATCTAGTGGTTGTTGAAGAAGGGGTTCCAGGGGTCACTGAGAAGGTTCAAGTGGTCCTCCTTGGGGAGGTTTTTGATTCTAGTGTTCCTTGAAGAGGACATTCCAGGGGCCCTTGAGAAAGGTCCTTATGGTAGTTGTAGTGGTACTAGAGAGGGTGGTTCCACTGGTGTTGTAGAAGTTGAAGCAGTCCTTTCTGAGACTCCAGGAATCCCAGAAGAGGTTTTACTGGTCCTTAAGGGGTTCTTAAGTAGATTCTGATTATTCTTGAAGTGATTCTCATGGTCGTTGAGGAGGTACCACAAATCCAAAAGGTCTTTATGGCAGATCTTGTGGTTTTTGAGAAGGAGTTTCCACTGGTCCTTGAAAAGTTCCTTACTGAGGTTCCACGAATCCTAGAGCAGGTTTTACTGGTCTTTAGGGTCGAGGGATTCTTACAGAGATTCAAGTTTTCATTAAAGTGGTTCCACATGACATAAAGGTTGATACATTCAAGCAGTACTTAGGGTAGTGCTAGTGGTCCTTGGGGAAATGGTTCCGGAGGTATAGGGGCAGTTTAGTTTGTCCTTAACAAGGTTCCAGGAGTAAATTAAGTCATGCTGAATTTACTAGTTACTACAAAGCTGAAAACGTCTTAATCCTTCCATTAACCACACGGCAGTAGAGTCTGAAGCTCTCTGATTGGATGTTGACTCATTGTTGACATGTTTTCTATGAGTTGTAACGGACTATGCTCTTTTTTACCTTTGACTTTTTCTCAGACGTCACATCTCATGGTGACCACTGTCAAGTTATATACACACTCTTACAAATTTCCTCAGCGGTATTCATTCATAATAAACGTTCTTCTCCTTTATATGCACATATATAAATAAATATAAATATTATCTACTTTATAAGAATTAACTTTTTAAATAACACAAGTCATACAAACGTTCACCATGATTCTTGGACTAAAAACTAATCTGCATACACACAGTAGGTTATCTATTTCCTTATCTTTCTCTGGTATTTGCTGTCAAGAACAACAATTGATTACTGTGTGTGTGTGTGTGTGTGTGTGCAGGTCAGGATGTTAGTGGCGTGTTGGATAGTTCTGTCGCCGTGGATACGAGCATCCTGGAGCAGTACCTCAGCAATGACATGGACCCCAACAGTTTGTAAGATTGATACACACACACACACACACACACACACACACACACACACACAATCCCAGTATTACATGATTCTTCTCTGTGATCGATTATTGATCAGTCTGATTTATTTTTTATTTAGGATCAGCCCTTCCTCAGCTGAAAGGGATTCTGATTGTGAAATTCTGGAGTCAATTAGAGCCTCTATTACCCACAATGCCTCTTACTCTGATGTCCTTCAGCTCATTTTATCCAGTTCCACATATGAGAGTGACTTCCAGCCCTCTTGATGTAATACAAACAAAGTTTTGGGCCTTGTTTGCTTTCTGGTCTGGATCCCTCCCTACTCATCTATAGACCAATTTCCAAATTACTCTTTTATATGGAACATTTCCATGGAATTTCTCTCTGCACTGGAAAATAACATTTGATTGTGTTCAGTTCTTGTACTCCAGGGGCCACGTACTGAAGGGTGTTGCACAGAAACCCTTAAAATATTTCCTTAGTAAAGATGTTAAGACTTTACGGCACTGAAAGAGATTTTACAGCAGTAAAACTGTTTCCTCTGAGATTGTTTGTTTGTTGTTAAATATTCGAGTGAACATCTTAAGTAAAACCTTTAAAAAAAGATATAAGGTTGTTTTGTGCAACTCAAACTTTAAGGAAACCTTAACCTAATGGTTTTTGTGCAACCGGCCCCTTAGACGTTCATCGATCACAGCATCCTGATCACAGACTGAGGTATTACATGGCGTTTGGATATCTGCTATATCTTTTAAAAAGTACAATATTTGCCTCTGGAAAATGCAGTAGTGGAGTACAAGTAAAAATAAGTAGAAAATGTAAATACTCAAGTAAAGTACAAGTACAGCAACACAGTACTGTGCTGCATTAATGAGGGAGTATGTGTAATAAAATGTAAAATCTATGTGATTTACGTAAATAAACTAGTAGAAGAGGTAGTAAGAGTTGTGCTAACAGCGGAAACCAACTGTTATATAACATACACACAAACAGCATTGACCTAGTTGGTTATCAGCTGAGTGAAGGTTGTAAATACAGAATGCAGAAAGTTCTTGTTCTAACCAAGCGATCCCATTCAAAAAAATATCAAACAACACTTAATAATATAAAAAATAAAGCTTTCCATGGCATCGGATTATTTCCCAAGTATAATAATACATTTTAAAAAATGGAGTAACTACATATTCCACAACAGTGTCTCTATGTTTCTTGTATTTATTTATTTGTTTGTTTTTTCCCAGTATGCTCCCTGAGTCTCCTCCTGACTCGAGCTCGGAAGCTTGTTCACCTGCACAGTTACCAGGTAATGTTCACAGAGCTTTCATTAAATATGACTGCTATGTAATTATTTGGACGTTGGTTTGTAACTGGACTCAAGTGATGTAACTGTCATCCTGGGTCAGTAACACCGACTGGACTGTAGATGGTGCCATACTCCACGACTACAAAAATAGTATTGTATTATTACTGATAGTATTTACAGTATTTATAGTATTTAGAAGCTAATTGTCACATAAATGCTTGTGTTGTTTGCCTAAAAGTCTAAAGTCTCCAGATTAAATGGTGCAACGGAGCTAATGTGTTAGCTTCCAACTTTATGGACTCAAAGGTCAACATGGTTTTGTTAGTAGTTTAAATTCACATATTAAAGTTTAGTCTACTAAAGTTTAGTTATACATTAAAGCTTTACAAAAATGTACTTTTTTAAAATTGATGTCTGTCAATAATTTTGCTATAAATGCTGCTGAGACTGAGCGCCAACAGGAAACGGTCTGTGTCTCTGGTTGAGTGTGTTTTGATTTAAATTCACTAAAAGGGAGAAACTGTCCTCTAATATGCTGCATTTCTCTGATTGGTAGACTTCCACTACGAGCCTTCCTATTGGCCCAACCAGCAGACCAACCAGGAAGCGTTTCATCCAACACAATGGCCTCCTGGCCTCTTCGTCCTGTCTGCTGTTAAGGATCAAGGCCCCACCCCCGCCGCAACATAAACTGCTGACCCACGATCAGCTTCGCAGTCTGGGCCTCACTAACACCTACGTCAAGTCTGGGGTCTTACCTGCCCCTCCTGCTCCACTTGCCCCCCTGCACCAGCAGACACCTGAACACACACACTACCTGAGTCCAGACAACTGCCCGCAGGTTTACACCCCTCCAACACCTTCTTCCCCGCCACCGCCACCACCACCGACCCTCTCGAACAGCTACGCCACGCCCTGCGCTGCTCCGGGCCTGGTCCCACATATAGCCACGCCCCCTTCAACCTGCCTGATGGGCCCCACCTCCACGCTACACAGCTAGTAAGCATCAGCTCGGGCTGATAATCTATAATGTAACTTTGGGTCCTTACAAGCTGTATATTACATTATATATCGCATTATAACATTTGTAGTTCCAATCGCAATTTTACGATTCAGACGTTTTTTGCACCATTTTAAAACATATTTTCTCTTTAATCAATTTATCGACCAGCTTTACCTTCAGCATTTCCAGTTTTGTCCTTTTACACTAAACTTACACTGCAGCTTCTGTTTCTGACTTCCAAACTAAAGCTGCACAATTAATCGAATTATTATGAAAATCACAATATGGCCAAATGCAATATGCAAATATTTTTGATAAAAGTAAAAGGTGACAAAACAGTTTTATAATGAAGGACTGTAGGTCTGCACAAAAACATCTTTGTTTGGTACAGACCCACAAAAACGTTCCACACTAATCACAACTCATATCACTTAATCTACTACTACAGCTCGTGATAACAGGCAGGAAATAATAAACGTGTATATGCCTGGCTGAGTCTGTCTTTCTTGTCCTTCTTCAGCTCCCCAGAGAGTAAAAAGAGGAGGAGATCTGAGTCTGAGGAACCATCGGTGGGAGTCGAGGCGTCCTGCAGTGAGGCTGAAGGGACTCGAGGCGGCAGTGGAGGGAATGGCGTGGGTGGTGGTGGAATGAGTTTGGGATCCTACCAGCTGCTGACTTGGGATCAGTACAGGCTGGAACATTGGAGCGCTTTGTACAACAGCAGCTACCAGACACTGTGAGTACAGAATCAGCTGAATCAGCTTAATTTTAAATCAAATCAGTAGTTGTTGTACCGACTGTATGTACATCAAGCACCTGAAAGTTCAGTCAGCTTTGAGTTTATTGAAGCAGCGTGGGATCATGGGAGTTGTTGTCTTCACCAACATTGGCGTCATTGCAGTCAGCTT